TACTCACCAAAATATAATCGGACAAAGGGTGTGAATAGATCGATAGTGATAGAGATAGATCAAGACTGCTTGAGAGAGCTGAGACCTTAGTCTTTAACGAAGTGAATTAGACTGGGGAATCGTCCTGCAGTCATGCCTCTATATATACATGATGCTATGTGTTATATCCTATGTGTCCAAATGGAATAACTGCGACAGCATGTGCCCATATCAAGAGCTGGACCAATGGCAATAATCCCTGCTATCTAATGCCCATGCGGAAGCGTCAAGTGACCAAGATACGACGTGAGTATGATGCGGAGTATCTCCTTGATTGATCCATGATTCCCAAGGTATAACCAAGGTATCTAATCTAATGATCAATAGATTCGATGGTGGACTAGTATGTGAACTGTACAGGTTCCCACGGTTGAAATATGTAACTGAGACCGTGATGAGAATATGTCTACGCTGTATGTGATAGAGTGTGATATAAAATAGTGTAAAATATAAGGAAAATGGAAATTTGTGACACCATTGCAGATTATCTTGAATTGAGGTGTACAATTTGCAGCAGAACTATTCCAGAAATGGTTACATGTAAACTGCTAGGGATCAAATCCACTATGTCCACCACTTATCACTACATTCAGAGAGAAGTCCCCTTCAAGGAAGGAGATATGATTATGCTTGATTTTTGTGACTGGCAGAAATCTGGATGTAAACTCTCTTTAAAGTACTATGGACCGTTCAAAATCATTAAACAGCTGTCTCTGGATACTTTCAAACTGGAATGGCCTCCACATCTACATAAAATTCATCTAGTGTTCCATGCTAACAAGCTCATTTCCTGTAATTCACCAGAATTTGTAGGCCAGAAATACACACTTCCTGAGCCAGATATTATCAATGGAGAGGAAGCATTTGAAGTTGAGAAGATTTTACAATCTCAACACACTGGTTGTATGAAGAAACTTCAGTACTATGTACAACGGAAGGGTTATGGTTGCAACAACAACTCCTGGAAACCTTATAAGAACCTCACCAATGCACAAGATGGAATCAAGGAGTTCTATGCCGCCCACTCCAAAGCTATTAGAACACTTTCAGGGCCATTTATTGTATGGCTTCTGAGACTTGACCTTTATCCAAATTTCAAATCTTAAAGAAGGGGTAATGTCACAAATTTCTAATTTTCTTATATTTTGCACTATTTTATATCACACTCTATTGCATACAGCGTAGATGCATTCTCATCGTGGTACCAGTTATATACTTCAACCGTGGGAAACTGTACATACAGTTCATATACTGGTCCACCATCAAATCTATTGATTATTAGATTAGATACCTCGATTATACCTTGGGAATCATGGATCAATCAAGGAGATACCCCACACTACACCTGTGCCGCACCTTGGTCACCTGATGTTTTCGAATGGGCACCAGATAGCAGGGATTATTGCCATTGGTCCAGCTCCTGATATGAGTACACACTGTCACAGTTATTCCATTTGAACACATAGGGTATAGCACATAGCATCATATATATATAGAGGCACGACTGCAGGGAGACTCCCAGTCTAATTCACTTCATTAAAGACTAAGGTTGCAGCTCTCTATAAGCAGTCTTGAGCTCTCTCTATCACTATCAATCTATTCACGTTCTTTGTCCATTATATCTTGGTGAGTGGCTAGCAGAAGTTGTTACAGTATGACACACTTTAATGATATTTAACAATTTACAGCAAGATTGATCTATAACTAATAGTAACATTTCATGTTGAACATGGGTCAACATATGGTTTTCCATTGGACCACTTGTGTAATAATCACACTTTCTTTGAACAAAGTTGACATTTTATTTGAAGTCTGATTTACAGTTGAAAAAAATCCTTCGAGCCGGGATCGAACCAGCGGCCTCGGGATGACTAGTACATTAACCATTACAGTCCCACGCTCTTCCAACTGAGCTATCGAAGGCATACTTCTAACATCCATTTTATACCACATATTGTGCTTTATAATTTTTTGTACAGATATTTATCTATCAATCTATTTAGAGAAGTTGAAATGCTAAAAGTAATTACATGTGAATATAATAAGTATTAGCCATGTAAAGAAAAATTACAAAATCTTTGAGTTCACAACAAACTACTCTTTATAGCATCTTCCATGATCTGGAATTATAAGCCTTAAACACAGAGTCACTTAATAATGTTAATAGGCTCAATATTGTAACAATAAAGCTTGTAGTTGGATCACTTTCTCCAACAAAAGAATGTATGTTTGATTTGATTATCAATACTACTGTAGGTAACTTCTAGCACAATAATGAAGACTATGAATGGCAAAAATATACAAAAGCAGGAAGCAAAAAAAAGACATACTAGCAAAGAAAAGGCAAATTAAATGGACAACATGAAAGGATGGCGTAGCCGGGACAGGTGCTGTGTGCGCGGGCAGGAAAAGTGCACCGTGCGCAGGCGGTGTCATATCATGAAATTGTTTCATGATCGGACTGAGTGAAAATACCATGAAACTGAAATAAACACGAAGAACCGTTAGGAATTGTGATCACCGGCTAATTACGTAAATCTGGTAACCTTAGGAAGTAGGAAAATGCGGACATCTCGGGCATGCACAGTTTCTCCGAATTTAAACCGCATTGTACGGCATCCCGGATAGCCGCAGTTGCAGGATCACACACTGCCATCTGTGAAAAGTTTATTTTAATCCGCTTTCAGGTCATTCAATACAATGAGGCCGGTTTCACCAGATTGTACGTCTTTATTATGTCACTCATCGAATTGAAAGGGCACCATTCCCATGCGGCTCCCACCCAAACAATAAGAAAGAAGCTTCTTGGATCGGGACCAGTTCCAATAAAGTTTGAAGGAGCCTGTCAATCGGTTGGCACAGAGCACTGATCATACAGCATCCCATTTCAGAAATGCGAAGATCCCACAGCATGCTTCTTTTGTGACTCGCAGATCATTAAATGTGCACGAGAAAGTCATGGTGATTGCCCCGAGACAGTGGAAAGCCCTAGCGACTCCCTGAAGCTAGAAACAATCGGAAGCACTCTTAGTTTGTCAGAAAAAGAGCCAAGCCTGCAAATATTCAGTCATAAAGAATTCAGAACCCAGAAACTATTTTCCATTGAATAAAGATGTCACATGGCTATGTCAGAGTCACCTGATCAATAGGCGGCTGTGTTTGATATGTCAGAAAACATGAGAATGACAAGTTGACAGGATTGAAAGATCAATTCTTGGAAAAATAGCAACAATTCTCAGAATATT